TGTCTAAAGAAACGATGTAATAATCTACATATTTCCATGGAGTAGATCAAATTCATCTTCAATAAAAATTGAACAGGTGTATTACTAAGTAACGGTTTTGCTTAAAATCGTAGCTAATGCGTTAGAGGGATGAGTTGGGTTTGGGGGTGGGATTGACCCTTTTTACGGTAGAGCAACGCGCACATTTCACGAGCATAATAAAGATAAATTCTATTTAAGACAATGTATGGTGATAAAAATTATTAAGCGCCATTTAATTTAGTAGTTTAAAGGTCGGCATGGTACATCTGGCAACCTGGGTCTGATGCTGTGTCGGATTATCATGCAAAATGAACATTCTATATCATTCTATATGTATATATCTGGACGGCACTTGTTCCATGCATATGAAAGGAATATACACACATCAAGCAAATCTAAGTAACATACATCATTTATGCAAACTACAAGATTTATCAGCTAATATTTTAAACCTACTATCGTTATGAAATGGGTAATGTATTCCAAGATTTTTTTAAAGTTACTAATAAATCAAATTGGTTATTATAAACATAAGAATTCAGTATCAAAAATATTAAAATTGCATCAAAGGCTTAGATGCTTAGGCTCTTTTGATGAGTATATAATTATATATCATAATATGATATAAATAAATATAAGCTTATAAGCTTATTTTTTGATATTTTTTCCAGATGTTGGGTTACATTATTGAAGTTTTCATATGGAACCCTCACGTTTTTTTTTAAATTGTAAAGCCTATGTTTGGGATGTAGGATTCTAAATGGTAAAGATTTTTCAAATTGGTCCAGCAGTTTTAGAGCCTGTTCAATAATAATGATAAATATTTCCAACACTCACACCAATTAGCCTAGCCCCCAAAGTAAGCACTGTAAGTCTTGTGTTATGGGATACTAGGGTAAAAGATAGAATACATATACTGAACTGTACATTTAAAAGTATATTCATATAGAAATATTAAACATCCATGGTTGGAGTACAAACGCTGGTATTCATCACACAAACATTTGCCCCCACTGGGATTCGAACCCGAGGCCTCCTCGAGTCGACGACACCATGAAACCCGGCTTACACACCACTCGGCCACGGAGGTCGATTCAACACACATAGACAAACAATAAAATCTTTTCTTCTCATTATATATGTATAGACAAACAATTATTTCTGTCTTTTAGCTAATACTCGTAGTTTCAGTACTAGTATCGTTTCCTTACTTAGCACGTCATAGTATTGTCCAAAAAAGCGTAACATTAAAATTTAGGTTATCACGATGTGAAATGGTTAAAATTACCATCTAAATATCATAAAACGGTTATTTATATAACATACAGTCATAACTTCAAATATTAAGCTTCATAAGAGTTCAAAGATCATAAGCTTTGTGTGTATTTAATTTCAATGGAAACATATTTGCAGAAATATATTATGAGATATTTCTTTGACATAAATCGTGAAATAAAATGTAGAGTAAGTTAAAACTCCGTTCAGTATTATGTATTTTACACACCCGAAACTTTTCTTTGTACAGACTTCTTTTTGTAAAATTGTTTTTTGTCATGGTATTGAATAAACGTTTTTTTTTCTAAAAAGATGGCAAACGAGTATAAATTCAAATTAAAATCATTTATTTCAGAACTAGGTTCCATACTGTTAGTTACATTTGATTTACTTATAAATATGTATAATAAATAATTACATAAAATATTACTATTGGATATGGAGCTTCACCCAGTGTCGTAGCAGAGGGGTGTCCCACCGGTCATTAAACTCTCAGGAGGCTGTTGGTACTAGAGCGTAGCCTAGTGAGCATGAAAGCGGACCTCTTTCTTATAATGGCATAAAAGTCGTCCGTATGCTCCTCCGCAAACATTTTTGACGCGCTGCAACTCCGTGTCAGTGTCAACAGTATCCTGAAGGCGTTGTTATATTGGATATAATAATATGCAATATAGTCGGCCTGATAGAAAGCGGGCACCACAACCTATAGACGCTTGCAATACCAAATATATCACTCGCCTATTGCCTACTCTGACCCAATCCTCTGTACCCCGTGGAGTCCTGGAACATTGCTCACCGATACCACCAAACGTAAAGTTTACCTAATAAATAAAATATGCTCTTTAGTAAAATCAATCCTTAAACTTTTCATGTTATAACCTAGGGAGCTTTTTTTATATATCAATTTTAAATAAAAAAATTGAATTTGTGAAAAGTTAACTGATAATTTTTATAAAATCTCTCATTCGTTTATTCCAGAGAGCATTTTTAATGCTAGTCATTTAAATCAAATGTAATGTTTTATATTATTCTTTGATAACCACATCATTGGATGAAAGATTGCTGAAAGTTATATTTCTATTCGAATGTTTTAGAGAAATTGTCCGGATAAAGGATTTTTTCTATAGGATTTGAACTTATACCATCCAGGGAATGGATATTCATAATTCGTTTCTTATGTATTCTTCGTTATAAATATGGATTAGATTTTGACAAAATCGAGCCTGTTGAGGAGCTTGACGGTGCAATGGGTAGCATGTTTTGGTCTACGGATATTTTTATACCGTAATCATTAGACTATTAATATCCTTACTGCTAAGATAAAGACCACAGAATAGATAGTACCTACAGAAGGTAATCTCATGTACTTCAGTTTTCATAGCTACGCTCGATGGTCACATATTGCCAACTTTGGCTTGTGTACAAAAAATCGTAGTAGGCATTCGTACGTATCTAGTTGTTTGACACAATTTTGAGAATGAAACAGGAAGAATGAAAATATAAACCAATAATAAGTAAAGTAGGTACCTATTTCAATTTTAATGTCATTTTTATATAAGTATAAAAGAAGACAATTCATCGTTTAATATTGAATTCAAACAACCATCCACTGAACAGTTATAAATTTATTTGTTGTTGTTCCTTTATGGAAAAAAATAGTATAGAGACGCGTGTCTCAATTGGATGGAACTCATGTCTGCAGTGGTCCCAAGCGGTCCGAGATATCGTTTCCGTGAGCGGTGTTTATCTGTGCGTTGCCCAAGCGCATTTGTATGTAGATTACCTTCTGCACTATTTATTTTGTGTACAGACTTTCTAGGAATATAGGCCATGACCCAAGTTTCTAATTACATGCAAGCCCAGTCTGGATTAGTAGGTGCTAAAGATTGCAAATGTCGCCGGGACCAATTACTTAACGTTTCATCTGAAGCACGGTGAAGCTCAATGTCTAGTCGAGATGATAATTTTTTGGTCATTCATCCTAAGACCGCCCATTGCGAATGTAGCGCAACTTCGTTAAGCATCTTGTGGAATTTAAATAATTTTCACATTAAGAAACTCCTACTTACTAGTCGAGACATCAATATGCTAGTGACTTATGCTAGTGAAAATAAATCAGTAGGTATAGAAAAGATAAGACTACTTGATTGGTATAGTCCGGCAAGGTGAATATTGCTAGTATATATTTATTAGGCACCATTAATTCCTGCCGCATCTTTGCGACGAGACGAAGGATTTTTTTAATGTATGAGAACAAAACAGCTGGAATACTTTATATCCCAGCTTTTCCACACCCCAGCAATGGAAATCATAAATGGCAGCTGTTGCGGGTAGGAAATATTGACGTTGAGGGAAAAACCAGATTTCTTTGACTTAGTTATTTATTAATTTATGGAGCACAACGTATTCGCTGGACGCGCGGTGCAGTAAGAGAAAGGGCGCATGCCCGAGATCCATAAACATTTTTTTATGTTATTAATTAATCTTTTTGGTGGCGATGCCAACAGAAGCATTTCTGATTATTACTTTTTATTTGCGGTTTTTTTTTATTTAATAAGTGGGTATACTTTAGAATTATTATTTAGAGCACCACTTGCGCTGGCCTACGTTGCCGCCGACTTACTGTGGCCACTGTCCCTACACGAACAAAGGAATTTGGTGACTCATTTCTTTGTCGTACTATTCGTAAGTAGAATTCTTTGCCCGTGCACGTGTTCTCTCCTTTCTTCAATCTGGGGTCCTTTAAGCGAGGCGTGAAGAAGCATTTTTGCAGGCCGGCAAGGTGAGGATGGTTGGTGTGGCAGTTTATAACTGCTGTACCAGCTATCTTCGCGTTTGGACTTTATCACTACTTAACATAAGGTGGTGTAATTTGCCTACCTGGCTATAAAAAAAGAACAATTGCCTAACTGGGGCTATTGACGACCCCCGTAGTCGAGTAGTTTGTACGCAGGGTTTCAAGGTGTCGCCTACTCAGAGGTTCCGGCTTCGAATCCCGGTGATGCAAATGTTTGTAAGATAAATACGAGCATTTGTACCCAAGTCATGGATGTTTATATGTATTTCTATACATATGCATGTGACTGTGAATTATATATTCTATTCGTTACTCTAGTACTCATAATATAAGACTTATAGAGCTTATTTTGGGGCTAGGCTAATTGGTGTGATGGTTAGAAATATATATTTATTTATTTTATTTATTTAACTAAAGAAACCATATGAACGTTGCGCACTTGGCCACAACGGAACTATTAGTCCTGTGTGTCCTGTCCTGTACTATGTAATACGAGATAATTATGTGTGGGATTCTACCCACACATTACACAACCTAACAGTGCTTGGTTTGGGGTTAGTCTAATTTTTGTGAGTATTAGAAATATTTATTTATTTATTCGCCATTAGTACATTTCAATAATTTATAGGATTGAATACAACAAACCCCTGTTTCATATTCCAGTTGATGAATCAAACTTTAAAAGTCAAATATCCTTGACTTAGCGGCACAAAAAACGAGTTTATATTTCCACGAAAATCGCTGTCATTGTTATTGATAAACCATTATCACATTATGAGGTAGACAAAAGAAAAAAAAGTCGAATAACGCTCTCAGCAAAGCCAACGAGTTGAGAGCAAGGGAGGGGCGGCGGGCCCGCGCGACCCCGCACCCCACGTTACGAATGTTCGCCATCAGTCGCCCGTACGTCTCAGGTTCGCACGCAGCATCCGAACAATTCCACCCTTGTTTTCACGCACAGAACACTACAAAAACCAACTAAAAACACCTAAATTTAGCATGTAACTACGTGCACTACCTACGCGTCGGTCAAAAAGGACAATTTTTACGTGAAAATGCATCAAAAACATAGTATCTTCACGGTCGGTGTGAATTTGTTGTTGTCACACTTGTGTGTTCTGACAGCGCAGCCTCAGCCCGTCGAGAAAATAGCAGTCGGTGAGTTTCACTCAGATATTTGTTATTTTCTAACGTTGTTCACGAGTTATGCATTTACAATGAAAGCTTTGAAAGCTAGCTCTTATTTGGGGTTATGTTTATAAAAACATCCCTGTGTTTCATTTAAATGTTCAAAGGAAGAATTATGACTGTTTAAATTTTTACGACTGCAAATCGAAAACCTTAATAGCTTTCGTAAAAACACACCTTTTTACAGCAATTATTATATAAAATATTTCGCATTTCATTCCATTTCCCGCAGAAAAGCGCTACCCCATGTTGGGTACGGTACTCTACTAAACTACGATACTACGGTTGTCTCTTTCTTTCTCAATATAGCTTTCTCTCGCTCTGTCTCAGTGTAAGGGAGATGTGATTAAGGTTGAGATTGTTCCATCGCCCTTTTCCCGGATGTTGACTTCTGGATTCTGCCTCAGCGTTATAACTGTACACAGAATACAAATACACTGGACTGTGTTAGTAGTGCGGCCGTAGACAGCGGCAAATTAGAGGGTTTGAAATAAATCTACAACGAGTAATCTTAACTGGACTGGTGGACCTATGCCACTACGTTAAAGTAGTTATCATTCAAATGTAATCGTATTACTTTTTATTTTTTATTTATTGATTAACTTGATTGATTTCTAAGCTGATGAGTTTCAAATCAATTTCAATTATTTGAATTAAATTGCTTGCTTATTGATGCCCTTTTTGAAAATTCTGTTGGACGGAAGGCAACAAACCCTTCAAAGGCATTTTGAACTGCCACTCGGTTATTGAGATTTTCCCTGCTAAAAAGTTATCCAAATTCTAGGAAGAGTAGAAGTCTGTAGGTCTGGTGGAATCGGTGGATGACGGAGAATTTCCAAACCCAGCTCTTGTAACTGGGAGACCGTCTCAGGATCGTGGAGACAGGATCTAACCAACTTGCTGAGCGCTTGCGATTGTCAAACAGAATCCATTTTTCATCGAAAGTAATAATGCGAGTCAATACGCATTCGTTTATGTACCTGTTGGGCAGCGCAAGGCTTCATTTGACGCGTACTCTCGCCGGCAATCATTCATTTCGTGGGGCACCCATATGTCAAGTTTTTACCTTGCCAATTTGAAGCAATATTGTTTTCATGCTAACATCGAAACTTGCAGCTAGTTCAGCTGTAGATTAAGAATCATCAGATTCGGCAATCGCCTTTAACTAAATCGCCTACAGTTTTCGGTCGACCACGGGGTTCATTTCTTAGGTCGAAATTTTCTGAACAGAAGCGGGCAAACCAAGAACGGCTGGTGCAATATCGTTAGTAGTGTTTCGAGTGTTCGAGTTTTTAACGTATCCAGGATGCCGAAAAACGTTAAACACATGATAATAAATGATAACTTGAACTAAGAATCCTTAACGAAAATAGAAAAAAAATGGACTTGAAATAGACAGTACGGCAGAACGGCAATTTTATAGAAAAAGTCTTTTGAATATTTACTCTCTAGATAGAGCGTGGCAGCGCAGATGCGTTGAAAAAATATCTCCCACCTGGTGGGGTGTAAGTCATTTAGTGTTCAATGCAACGCCTGAGCGAAACGCACGTCAGTTTCATGTTGAAATTATTGCTTAAAGTGCAGAGTTGCGCGATAAAAGTTTTCGGAAATTCAAAAAGACTCATAAAAACATCCAACAAATCTTAAAAACCTACTATCGGCAAATAACTCATTATTACCCTTAAAAAAATACCATATCAGTACCATATTAGTGTTGACAGTATATTATTACAAAATTTCCCAAAAGAAGTAAGTATGTCGTAATCAAAAAAAAGTATGGAGTTCTAAAAATGAAGAAAGGGTTTCGATTAAAAAAATACTGATGACGGACAAGTGAATTCTGGTGAAGTCTGCAATTTCTACCTGTTTTCAGGGGCTTGACAAATCATATTTTTTGCGAAGGTATAAATAAGTTATATTTCATCTGAAAAATTTATAAGGCTTAAGGGAAAATATTTTGAAAAGGATAAATAATTTGACGTTAATTTCTGCCATCCGCTTCATCTCTAGTATTGTGCCACAGAAGAAAAAATCATGTTTAATTCAAAGTTCATCAATGTTTTACAAAAAGATAGCTATTTGGACCAAATGACTTGCTTTTATTTAATAGTTACGAAGAATTACACCATTAAAATTATATTTTAAAGTCATCAAGTTTACGAGATTGTAAATCTATACTGGTGTCGATTCTAGCATGATTCTCTAAACCTAAACCTAAATTTGACAGCAGTATATCCTTGTCATTCTCTATACAGAATGAAAAGGAGAGACTGATGTTAAATTTAGTTTTAAGTTTAGAGAATGACGCCAGAAACGGCACCATTATCTACCTAACCTAAACCTAAGAAACAAATATACTATTTATTTTGTATAGATATTATAAGGAGGAAAGATTTGATTATTTGTTTGTATTAAATAGGTTCCGAAACTACGGAACAGACTTGAAAAATTCTTTCACAATTAAAATCCTACATTATTCCGGATGATCATAGACGATAGAGTATTTTCAAAATGTTAGGGTTCCGTATGAAAGATTTCGATTATATAACCCAATGCATGAAAAAAATACCAATAAATAACCTTATATCGCGTAAGCTGCGGAAATCATTGACAATGGAGCAAAGTGATGTACAAAAGATTTTTGAAGGATATTAATACCTACAAAAAATTCCACGATACTATATGTCTAACTATTACAATTATGTCACAATTAGAGGTCCACTGCGGTATAACCCGCGTAAATTTTAGGAAAAAGATTATAGTGAGTCAAACTTAAAAGATGGACATATGCTGTCGCGGACTTTTTTTTATAACATTTTTAAAGGAAAAACTTACGTCGTTCATTGTTTACGCGACACACACAATGGAAGCTCACAAAAGGATTATTTTTACCCGGTTTTGCAACGTTTTTCATCGATGTACCGCTTCTATTGGTTGTAGCGTGATGTAATTATATAGGGAGAGTCATCATTGTGTATAATACAAGCCTGAGAATAAATACCAAATCTATACTAATGATCTAAACCGAAGCGAAGCGAGGGCGGGTCACTAGTAGATAAATAATATAAAACTACTAAATTCAAAGTTTTTGGACTTTTTTTAATTACTTAAGATCATTAATCATCATAATTCAAAAAAAAGTTTCTCTTTTCCAATTTTCTGTTTCTTTCTATATTATTAAGACTGTAACGAACAAAACAAACAAAAGAAAAACAACAAAACGGTGAAAATAAATGAAACTTTTGTAAAAACAAAATCCAAGTATAAATTATACGTTTTACAAATGTTTCAACGTTTATGATTTTTAATTGTGTGAAAAATATACAAATTTTCATTTGATTTAGTTTATTAGTTTGTTTGGTTGAACGTGCTTATCTCATGAATTACTTGTCCGATTTGAAACAATGTTTCTGTGTTAGATAGTCAATTTATCAAGGAAGGCTATAGGTTAATAACATCACAATACGACTAATATGAGTAAGCATTGAATAAAAAATGTTGCAAAAATATTCCATTCGCGAGATTCCGCTGCGTGCAGGACTCTTTTAAGTTTGGCTCACTATAACCATTTTCCTCAAATTAACGTGAATTAAAATGCAGGGCACCACTAGTCAATAGTATTTATGAGAATTCAAGCAATAGTTAGCTTTCTGAGCGTGTTCAGAAATGTGACTATTGCTTGGCCCGACTTGTCGTGAAAATGGAAAATGTTCGCGATAGCACGACAGTGTGGCCGTAGCCTTATATAGGTGCCGTATAAACTATCGCTAACGCTAAGCCAAACCTTTGATTTGACGATGATAAAGTCGTTACGGCAGAAACTTTGGACGATCTCAACAACCTGAGCAGTGTGTCTCAACAGGTGGGTCTTTCAAAATATCAGAAGTTAAACGAACATTATGAATAAAGATCATGTTCCGATTCTACATAGTAATCGTTGAGAATTCTGTTTTTTGAAGTCAAAACTTCTTTAGCGGCGTTGTACACTTTTTTTTCTATGGGTAAAAAATGTTAAACTCGCATCAGGTTAAACACGTGGACTGATCGCATCATGTCACACAATAAAATTGGAAAGATTGTTAACTTTCAACATAATGACGAAACAGTAAAATTTTATTTTATCGTATTTTAATAATAAGTCTCTATCTAGACGTCCACGTGGCAACTTTATTGCGAAGAAAATGCATTTTTTACAATAGATGTCGCTAGGTGCGCTTAAATGTGATTCATGTAAGTTGATTTCTTTACAATAAATGTCGCTAAGTGCGCTTTAACGTGATTCATGTAAGTTGATTTTTCTGAGAAATAAACTTTATAATGTAATAGAAATTGTAATGTTTGTGTACGATAGCGCAATAATAAATATTGTATTCTACCACATACATGATAGTACTTTTATACTGATAATTAAAGCAATTCGTGAAAAAATAATCCCTAACCATTCCAAAATATCAAAAATGCACAACGTTTTTCACTTCTGCCGGCACTCCTGGAGTGCCACCCGTCGTTTTTTTTTTTCATGTTAGACGCTTGCGATACCTAAAATAAAATATCACTTGCACCGTTGCCTACCCTGATGTGATCCCTGACCTAATTCTCTACCCCGTGGAACCCTGGTACCTTACTCACCGACAGAAATACAACATCACGAAAAGGTAATGTTATTTTATTTTGATCTTCTTTAAAGTGGAGGATACTTCCCCAGACGGGCGTTCCAATTTGAGTGGATAATCCGCTATAGCCTACTAAACTTAAATTCGAATGTCTCGACCAATAAATATATCTGGGACAAATAGTCTAGTTCAGTAAGACAGCGTTCAGGAAACTTGGCTAAGTCTTTTCGTCCGCGTAATTCATCAGTCTCCGTAGACCAAGAGGTTCAATCTGTGTGTGTTGCTAGAGAGGTCGTTGATTTTGGGCTTCATAAGAAGGCAGATTCACACAGCGAGTGATGAAACTCGGTGGTCTAC